TCTGTATGAAGTTTTGCCTGTAGAGAAGAAAAAGTCAGGAACTGATAAATAGCATATCATCTTTTGCATGTCTTTCTGTGAGTTTGTGTGTGTAGTATGTTCTTTTACCTAGTAAGGAATGTTGGCAGAGGGGAATCTAACACATTACAATGTCTGTGTGAGTGCAGTGATGTGGACAGACATGCTGTCAGTTCCTGCCATTTTCCCCCTCCATAGGCAAAGCCTTATATACATGGATAGAAACTAAATTCAGCTAGTCATAGCCTCCCCTATGGCCAAATCCATGCACAGACAAATAGATGTTGGGGCCGGCTGGGTCTCCAGTTCTGAATATCCAAATTAAACACACAAACACATGCAGGAGAGAGAAAGAGAGAGAGAGAGAGAGAGAGAGAACAAAGAGACAGAGAGACAGAGACAGAGAGAAAAGACAGAGAAGAGGATGTAGGAACAAAAGATCCTGAGAACAAGAGAGACACAGCTTGGCCTGATCTTGCTGTATGTGCAGACCGGTGTCAGGTGTGGGGAATGATCCCCTGTGCTCATTATAAGCAGTGTGTGTTGGGAAGCATGGTGGTGTGTAGCAGGGATTTACAAATTAGTATATGTAGTATTGCAGTTAACAGAAGCATACAGCTGACACAAAACTAGAATTGCATGTGGAATTTGCAAGGGAGAATGGAATACACATGAATTTCTATGTATCAGGCCCTGTTGGTCTACATCTCCTACAAACACTGCTATACAACAAGCCTTTCTACGTTCCTTCTCTGTATTCCGAGTCCTAGATGTTCTGCTTGATGTCAGTCCCTGAAGAACACCTAATCATTCACCCCGCATTCACTGCTGCAAACTATACTACCCTGTAATCCATAATGCATTGCATGTTATCATCACCTTCAGGCTATGTGAAAACTATACAGCCCACTCTCTGAGCAATCACCCCAAGAACACACATGCACTGTTGCTTAGAGCATCACCTCCACCACTGCTCCACATATACCGCTCTTGATCGGGCCCTCCGGGACAACCATAGGTGTCCTACATATAAGCTACAAGTTGGGTTCTACTTGATCTAGAAAGCTCACAACAGCTGGCATGCAACATACAGTGTTTTGATCACAAGACACTGCAGAGTGTCTCCCTGCTGCTCCCAGAGAGAACCACCTCAGTAACAGGACTGTCCCACTACAGGCCGTCTAGATGTCATCCCTCACAATCCAGCTGTCAACCGCACCCATTAACCTTTAGTTGTCATGCACCGCTGGACACTCCTTCCCCTGCCACTCTAACCTGAAACACGCTGTTGTCTTCAGACCTTGTGACCCAGGGCCTGCATGCACTACTGTGTATCACATCTTCAGAACTCTACAGTCCTAACCTGCATATGGTGCAGGAAAACAGGCTGTTTATAATAAATTTGTCTTCCTACAGCAACACTGCTGCCCCAAAACATTGTTCATCCTCAATCATGCAAACACCCCTACCCCTGTCTAGTAGTGTATGCTGTCAGCAGAATGGAGCTGTTTTTTATAAGGCTTGATGTCTATTGTTGTCTATACATGCAATATGCATGAATGAAATCTGTGCACGGTGGTAATATGTGCCTGATAGGAAGAAATCTGCTGATGTCTGTGACAGGTGTGTGTAGTAGAATCCTAAGAACAGCAGTGACGGTTTGCCTAGTAGTGTATATTGGGGGTAAGGGTGTGTGTCAAGCTTGGTCTCTTACCTGGCATGTCATGTAGGATGGAGGCTAGTGTTCAAGTGAATCTGATGCCCTGCACTGTGTATGCTACTGTGGTTTAGGAAGGGGTTAATGTCCAGCTTGTCCCAGTTGCTAGCAGGGGAGCCTGACACCCAGAACGGTGTGTAGCATAGGAAGGAGTCTGCAGAACCTGATGGCTAGCAGTGTAGTTGTGTCTTCTGCAGAAGAATGGAGTCAGACAATGCTAATTCTAGCAACAGTGCAAGATGTTACTGGGAGAAAATTTCCTATTGTGACCTGGCAGCTGCCAATGTGGTGTATGAGTTCAATCAGGATCCGATAACTAGTAGTGGATGAATGGTCATAGCGCTAGTATTATATCCAAGGTGTTTGATGTATTACACTCTGTGTCAGTGAGAAAAGAGGAAGAATGGGGAGTCAAGCCAAGCACCATATCTCCTAACTGTATGTTAGTGTATAGATGAGCTGGTATCAATCAAGGCGTGATAATGCATGTGGCAATAGGCTGGCAGTGAGGGATGTGATGTCCAGGAGAGCCTGCCATGTTAGTGTGTGTGAGCCATTTAGGGTGTCATCAGCACATGGTACCTAGTGGTGGATGTATGGCAGCTGTGGGGTGATGTGTGCATTTCAGGTAATTCAGGAAGCCTTGTAGGACTGTCATGGGTGTTAGAATACCCAGCAGGTCTGCTATATAAAAAGTGTGTTTAGGTGGATGTGATGTTGTGTCCAGTGTGTCACGATACTACCAATGTTGTTTGTGGTGGTGGGTGTGATATTCAAGAGGGCCTGACACGTACTGGTATATATGAATCTACAGGGATCTGAGGATATCAAGTGGGGCCTCATAACTACTAGTCCATTTCATTACATGTCACTGCTTGTGGGACAGGGGGAAGGATGTTGACTAGCTGGGCCCAATACCTAGAAGATTGTATGGTGATCGCAGGTGATGGGTGTCCTTCAGCTGGCAGTGTATGTAAGTAAGGTGTTAATATGAATGAACATGCACAGCACAGACAAGTATCTCAGTTCAGTTTCTGCTGATTTCCTCAAATTAGAGTACCATCCACCACAGTGCTATTATCAGAATCAAGGTGACAGCTCATCTCCTTCCCACACAGTGTGAGAGGTGCCAGCCCTCATCCCACCACACACCACACCTGTCCCTCCCCACAGCCACACAATATACATTGTTGTTCACCATACCATGATAAACACCATATGCTCCCTGACACTGCAGATAAAATGGAAGATCTCATGCTGAACACACCACCTCTTCTCTCGCAATCCTACATAGCAGGCCCTACTTGAATGCGTCTTCCTGTGGCTCTATTAAGCATATCCAATGCCATGTCCTGGGCCTACAAGAAACACACCTAATGCCAGAATCACACTACACATCATGCCAGTTGGATTGTTCGAATACAGCCCTCGCATTGTACATGCTCTCAATCTTTCAAGGATGTGCCCCAACCACCACTTAATCTGAAATATAAAATGTTATTAGGGTCTGCTGGACAGAATTCTCCACCACTCTTCCAAACCTGTAGCTATGAATCCCTGATAACACAACCTTATTAACCCCATATTCAGGCCTGTTTGATATCCTTCCTTGGCTGCTACAGCCCCACATACGGGCAGGTACCACAGCTGCTTTTCAGGCATTGCTAGACTCTCCTCTGCCTCCCTCATGACTAACAGCCTAAATAGACTGGCAGGAATCAGGTGCTGCTGGAACTCACCTGCCTTCTGCCTGCTCCATGTACGCTGTTCTATGTCTTCTCCCAGACCATTCCCTGTCCCAAGTAGAGAGCTAGGTGACACAGGTGTCTTCATGCTGCTGACACTGGGTGCTGGAAATCAGGAGCAGCTGGTCACCTCCACTCCATTCCACATCCACATTAAATGCTATGTATCTGGCCATGCTGGAAACCACTGTCAGTCAAGATATACCACCATTTCATCAATCCTTATGAGGACCCCAGTATCCACCACATATAAACAACTAGATTTCACTCTCAGATGGACAGCCAACTCTGAACTACAACTCTGTGTTCAAGATAGTTTTCAGATTCTGCTAATCACCTCCTAACCTTAATTCTCCTCATCCACACAAGTAGGCAGCAGACTCTTCAGAATATTTCATCCTGCCTACATCACACATGTACTGCAAGGCTGTAGCAGGCAATGGAGCAGCATGGCCTATGAAACATCATTGGGTCCTGAGTGACAAAGGGGTGCAGTTTCCATGTAGTAGCACTAAGAAGTGACTTGTAGGTGGGGTGGGAGTGTGTTCTAATTGAATTTGATATACAGTATTTTTAGAGTTTTATGGTTGGGTTCTCACAAGGCCTGCTATGGAAGAAATCACATAGGTCTGCACGAGAGCTGGTATCCAGCTGGTTCTAATACCACCCAGTGCATTGAGATGGTGTCAGGCAGGAAATGTCAAGCAGTGTCAATGACTAGCAATGCTGTTTAGCACAGCAGATGGGAGGGGACATTTGTGTATGATCTTTACTACTACTGGTGTGGGGGTTGATGGGGGAAAAACATTCTGAACTGCCATAATAATGTATATGGATGACAATATTTGAGTGTACATGTAAGAAAAGTGTCAGGAAAGGGCTGATATCTAAATGGATATGTGGATTGGGGGTTGCGGATGTCCATCGGGTTCTGACAACTAGCTGTTTGCTGATATATGTTGCGTGTCAGCACAGCCTGGCTTCATGTATTCACTGTGAGGCGGCAAGGGGGGCTGTGTTCTGCATGGGTTGACATCTAGCATTGAGAGTGGAGCAGTGCTGTGGATTGTGCAGCGCTAGGCTCTCTGGCCTCCAGAAGCAGCATGGAGACTCATGAGCTCAAGCAAGTCTTACATCTGTGCTATGCTCAGCATCTCTCTTCACCTGAACTGAGATGTTTGAGAGTCAAGAGTATAGTTGACTGTCAGAGGGGGAAATGAACCCCCAGCTTTGGAGAGTCTTCATTCTGCTTCTTTACCATATCATCATGCAGTAACGTTGGGGTCACATGGGTGGAAGAGTGGTGAGCAGAACACATCTGGTTGTCAGCATGCACACTCCTTCCTGCTGCATAGCACTGAACGATCTTATCTTAGAACAGGTATTTGTTGTCTGCTTGGCTGTGACAACAGTGTCCAGGCTTTCTCTAGATGTCCTATGATACAGTCTCCCCCAGCCATGCTTGAGCTTTTGTGTTTTCTTGGCTAATGGCATTAAAGCTCGTGTGGCCAGAGTTCATCTTCTGTGCTGTCTTTCTCTACTTCCTTAAGAGGCTGAAACTTATGTAGATCTCTTCTGCATCTCTTACATGAATTTTGTAGTGTTTGCATTGGGGTCAGCTGTAATAGTTGAATGTGTGTTCAGTTTTCTAATGGGTTCCTTATTGTTTACCTTTGCATCATTGTAGACTTTTGTGGACAGATCATGTTCTCTGCCTTCATTTCCAATGCCAAAATCAACTGATGCGATGTAGGTGGGTCACTCACTGGGATTTGTGTGTGAATCCATGTTTCCATCTCCGTTTCTTCCCTGTTCTACTCTGTGGATCTCTGAGACTTTGTGTGAAGGGCTGGAACCAGCAGTGCAGGGTCTGGAGGAGTCGCTCCTGTCCTCTGCCTTCACTTTTGGGATTAGAACCAGGTGGATGTCACATTTAGTGCTTGGGTAGCAGATTGACATGTTTCAAGTCTATCTAAGAAAAGATCTGTCAGTTAAACAGCAGCAAAAATTGTGGAGAAACAGGGGTCTCTGAGAGTTTAGAGTCCTTTGAAATCCTCTCAGAAAAATACATGTTCTATTTGCCAATTGGTGTAAATTCAGCAGGAAATCTACTTTGGTATTTTGATATTTGTTGTTTGTGTGTTGTCTCTATCCAATACCAGTAGGAAACAGTCTAAGTGACTGACATCAAGTGCACCATCATCCGGTGATTACTGGCCTGAGAGAGAAGGTCCAAGGACACTGCCCTTTCCAGGAACTCCAGTCTAGAGGCTGTGCAGATGCACTCTCGTGTCCCAAGGCTCTGCAGTGGCCCTTTCTTTCTCTGCTCAGGTAGTTTTCTAGGGTCATCTCTGAGAAAAGAGAGGCATAGGTGACTTATTTACACTATCAAAAAAACCCACTATGAATGTATGCTGAATATTAAAGGTAACATACATGGAAGGCTTTCACAGGGGATCCTTCTGTTATCCTTAGATATTGATGACAACTGGAGCAGGTCCTGTAGCTGGATGCTGGAACATGAGCCATCCCAGTGCCCTGTACAGGATGTCCTCCTGAAGCTGTGTAGAACTTCTGAGCTTTCCCGAACTTGGAGACGATCTTTTCCACCACGGACACCAGGGTTGAGTGTGCAAGTCCTCAGGTTAGGAATCCTCTGGGTCACGATTCAGGATGTGGCCAGGCTCCTATAAGAGAAGGAATATTTTAGATCATTGAGGAAACTGGCTGCCAGTTCCACATCCACAGGCACAAGAGCTGTGGACTTGACAGATAATGGCAGGTTTACTTTATGAAATTCAGGGACTAAAGAGGCAGGTATTATGCTCATTGTCTTCCAAGGTGACCTTCTCTAGGCCTACATCATTAGGGTTTCATCAGGGACATCAGAAGGCAGAAAATGATTTTTCATGGCAGACCTGCAACTTTTCAGGCATCAGGTTCTGGGAACAAAGGAGGAAAAACATTTCCCCACCAATATGTTTAAACATAGGCAATCTGCTCCCTACACCTCATCTCACGTCCTCTTGTCTACATTAGACAGGATACATACTTGGTGAAAATGAGCTTCCACAAAAGATGATGTCCCAAAAAACCTACAGATAAGAGAAGAGTAAAAGTGACCAATAAGACATCTGGAGTTGACCTGGGGAATTCCATGTGACCCACCTGTACTAGACTGCTCATTGTGGCTGTGTCAAGCGGCCAGTGGGTGTAGTTTAAGCATTGTGACAACAAAATATGTTATGTCCAGAAGAGCATCTAAGGACTCAGCTTTGTGCTCTGTGAGGAGGACACCTGTGGACACCTTTGGGATGAAGCGTGTGAAGTTCCTCCTTCAAGAAGCTGGTAATCATGGACCCTACCCTTGCTCCATCCAACAAGAGAGACAGTAAAGGAGGGAAGTGATTGGTGTGGGGGTCGGAAACTCAGTTGACTTCTGTTCTCTCAGGTCAAATGCTAAAGATAGCAACTTGCTTTAGTATCAGGGAAATTCCTCATTTGTCCCAAGGCAAATGTCAAAATAAACATCACAAGTGATCATACTGAGATTTGCCTTTTTAGAGTCTGTCATGAGTGTCTGGAGCCCATGATTCTTATCGATTATATCTCCTGGGTTTTACTGATTGGCTACAGCATCCAAGTCTCCCTTTCCCAGGCACTGCATTCAGTAAAGTATATCACAAATGGTACTTCCCTTAGTAATCACCCACGAATGCAGAGCAGGTATGGACACATAAGCAAGAAGGCCTGCCACTCTAGTCTGGTTGTCCTTGCAAGGCTGTGTGCACTCTCGTTCTCATGGTTCTTCAACCCAGTACAGACTAAGCATCTTGCCAGTTGCAGTGATTGTTCTTCCACACAGGTGTCAGATGATGTTCACCTGTTATACACAAACTGTTCCTCCATAACAGCTAGGGGCAGAGGGGAAAGATGAGGTACTTGTCACAATTTATATCAAGATCACTCTGAATCCATGCCTCTTGTCTGCCTCCTCACCTTTGTTCCTCTGCATCATGAGCTTAATGACCACGTTCCTTGGAGTTGAAAAAGGTTGACTTTGGCATCCTCATGCTTATCTTTCTGAGATTCAGTATCAAGGATAAACCAAATCACAGATACCTCTCCAATACAACAGGATGAAAATTAGCAGGCTCCATGCTGCCTTCAATCATGAGACCCACAGATAAGCCCTCACATTCAGTCCTTTCTGAGTGGCCCCTCTTCGTTACTTCATTGGTTCTGCATGGAGAGTGTCCATGACAACACCAATGCAACTTTCACAAGAGAATCCTAGCAGAATGCTTCTAATCTACAGTCACAAGTTTCTGTCCGAGTCTGACCCTCTGACCCATGATATCGAATCTAACCAAAAAATAGTTCCAATACCATGGAATCAGTCATGTGTCCACTGTACATCAGAATCAGGACAATCAAGCAATACCCACCGTGCAAGTTGGAGCAACATCCCAGCATTCCATCCAGAGTGATATCCATTTCCTTCCTGCTTGCTGTCACTTTCCTATTGAGAAACAAATGTGGTTCTGACAAGCACCCCACAGTAAGGACCTCTTCACCAACAGCTAGACTGAAGCAGCATGTAGTAGGAGTGTCTCCCGTGCAAAGAAGGAAATGGATACAGGCAGCCTGCAAACTCATCAAAAGGGAGGGGAGGGGAGGAAGAAGATTCACCTCTGTCCAGTCTGAAAAAACATTTCCCTTGGACTTGACCTTGAAGAGAAAGACAGATGAAGGAGTATTGATGTTGTATGTCATGGAAGACTGGCCCATTGCAGTTTATAATCAAATGACATCTTTGGGTGAATTTTGGCACAGGGCTGCACACTGAGAAGGATGCCATTAAAGGTCAGCCATTGGACATACCTCCTTTTAACAATGGTTTTCTGTGGAGAACCCTGTGGTAGATGAAGCCTTACCATCTCCTGTGTTGGACTTCTCTGTTGGAGTACACGGCACTCTATCATCTGGACTTCCTGCATGGCTCCCAATTTGGCTATTTCAGTCTCTCCAAGAAAATTGCTATCCCCATGTCTCATCCTCAACATTGACTCAATTTGGAAAATGATAATGACATATGGAAGACACAGTCTTAAGAAATTTAAAATATATACTTCAGAGTCTTGACTAATATCTTTCTGGATCATCTGTTATCTGGTGTCTCTTCTTCTCATACTCTGTCCTGGTCTTTAGTTTTCTTCCCTCAAAGCCTTTGATGATCTATAATTCTTTCTTCCTTTAGCCAACACTACTTCTGGCTGCTTCTACAGCCTCTACTTTTCAACCACTACTGTCTACTTTAGCTTAAACAATTCAGGTTAAAGGTGGAGGTAGAGTTGCTTTTGAAATAAGAGTTCCTAATTTTCAAATCCTAACTATCATGTGATGGTCACAAAGGACCTTAGAAAACATATAGATTAATAAACACTGACGTGCATCCTGGGCACACCATTTAGCTGTGTGTGTGCTCCTGCAATGCTCTCTCCTTCTAGTGGTGCCTCTTCATTCGGAGAAACATGGATTTTTCGTGAGAGTGGAAGACAGCAGCACAGAAATCTCACACTATTCCTAATTCTCTTCTTAACCCTCTTCCAGCCTTTGGACAGACTGCTGGCAGAGGCTGCACTTACATTTTCAGGAAGGACATCTTTTAATTTGTTCTGTGATGTTGTCTGAAGGGAAGATCTCTGAGTTCCCTGGTTTTCAGTGGTGATCATACCCTGAGGTGCCTCCCTGTCCTTCCTTTCAGAGGGTGTATTCTGAGCATCTGAGCTATTCTTCGGGGAGCTCACTTCCTGGGGTTTCTCACAGGACAAATACTGTGCAGAAGAAATGCACTCAGAGAATGGGCATCCTGTGGACAACTCATTGCAAACCATGCTACCTACTGCCACACTTTTACTCATGAGAGGAGTAACCTCAGGAACACACATGGGTACTGGGTGGGGAGGGATGTCCTCCTTCAGCAGGCAGCACAAGGTGGCAGGCATGCTCAGGCTTCTGCTCCCCTGCTTGCGTGAACACTTCTCAACCTGCCCCTGATGTTTATCCAGCAGGTCGAAGGTGGGAAGGGCAGGCTCACTCACTCTCCTTTTAGGAGCAAGGGAGGTCAGAGCACCTGATGATGACACAGCGACACAGGCCTGCAAAGACTTAGTGGAAGATTTAGTGTGGTCCTGGGGTGACTCATGGTTTGAAATTAGGTATGTGGCCATGATGTTATTGAATTTTTTCTCACGTAGACTATCACTAATAGCCTTGGGATGGTAACCCATACCCCACATAGCCAGCAAAATACTGGGATTTGGATTGTTACAGAATGACTCTGAGGATGATGGGAGTTTCCAAAATTCTTCCCTGTCTTTGATCCACTGGTGTTGCCTAATGTCACATATTGTGGGCCTCTGTTCAGGGTTCACAGTGAACATGTGCACAATGAGGTGCACAAGCAAAACATTTTGAGAGTGTGTGTAAGGAATGTAGTACGTGGGATCCAGCATCTCCTCCTTCATGTCTGGATAGGTCTTTGCTTTGAATGGGAAGCTTGCTGTCACCATTACATATAAAACCACTGCCATGCTCCAGATGTCAACTGCCCTTGCATCATACTCCTTGTCATCGAATAGCTCTGGAGCACAATATTCAACAGTGCCACAGAATCCCTTGCACTTCTCCCCAGAGCTGACTCTGATGGCCAGGCCAAAGTCACACAGTTTGATGTTTCCTTTGCCATCAAGCAGGATGTTATCTAGCTTGATGTCCCTGTGGGCAATGCCATTATCGTGGCAGTAGTACACTGCACACGCCATCTGGCAGAAGATGTGTTGGGCCTGTTTCTGCTGAAGAGGGCCACCCCGCTCAATGTGCTTGGCCAGATCGCCATGAGCAGCAAACTCCAACACCATATAGGTGTGGTCTCTGCTGTCGATGATGTGGAAGAGCTTTATTATGTATGGGTGGTCCAGCTCTTTCATGATGTTGAGTTCATTCCTATTTTTTCTGTCTTTCCCCTCACCATTCGCAAGGATTTTAACTGCGACTTTCATATTTGTGAGGAGATGGCAAGCTAGCTTCACCTCAGCAAAGGTCCCTTTGCCGAGGGTATTGAGTATGATGTAGTGATCTGTAATGGTCTCCTCTTCATAGGCGCTGGCATTCAGGGCCAGCTGCATGGTCTCCTCCTCTCTGGTCTTGCTAGAAATGGTCTTGATAATTTCCATGCCAATGCCACCTGAGAAAATCAAAATAAAAGCAATGAGATGTAAGTCAAGGGGTAAAGTTTTTAGCTTTCTGTTTCTTCATGGACAAATCTGACAGAGCAAACAACCTTACAGTGATCTTCTGGGTCAAAGAAAATATGAGTAAACCAAAATCTAAAGAAATTCCAGAAAACATACTGAAGATGAGAACTAAACATAAGGAAATAGACCAGATTGAGCATTGCAATGGCATAAATGCTTGATTATTGAAAAGAAAAAGCGAAACAGATAAAACCTTACCAAAAATAGTCAAAGAGGAAAAAATTCAGTTTAAATTTATAGTCAAGCTTTGGTCTTGTTACAGTAAATATGGCTACTTCTAAAACATCATTTGAAAGACTTTTTTGGTAACTAACAAGGCACTTTATTTTGGTATGGAAATGATATCCTTTTTTCTGTAAACATATTTGGAGATAAAATGAATTAAAAATTCTATGCAAACCAAACCATTTCTGAATCAGTCTCTAGGAGAAATTTTGAATATTTCTTCACTGCTAAGTTCTCACTAACCTAAACAATGGAAATCATGGAATAACAAAAACTTTGGAAAAACTCTTAGTATAAGTACATAGTACAGAAAGAAAAGGAGAATCAGCATTCCTGCAGAAATAATGAAATCGGGGGAAATAGGAAAAGTTATGATGCACAATTTGCAGACGCTTTCCTATGCTGAGGAAAAGGAATGCCATTTCTAAGAAAAATATTTTGCATTTCTAGATTCTAATGTAACCTTTTAGCAGTCTATGCCATCAAATTTACCTATTTTTCCTGTTCCCAAGTTATATATTTTACTCTGAGATAGTTTGGTGAATATAGTGATATGACTCTTGTGGGCACCATAATGAAAAGTGGTCGTTAACTAATATGGATTATCATTCTATGTTAATCACTTGATGGAGGAGGGTTATCTGTCTATTGTGTTATTTTCATTGGTCAATAAAGAGACTGCCTTGGCCCCTTGATAGGACAGAAAATTAGGTAGGCGGAGTAAACAGAATAGAATGCTGGGAAGAGAGCAATGAGGCAAACGCCATGGAGCCAGCCACCAGGTCAGACATGCTGAATCTTTTCCGGTAAGCCACTACCTCGTGGTGCTACCACGAGATTATTAGAAATGGGTTAATATCAAGATATGAGAGTTAGTCAGTAACTAACTCTCTAGAGATAATGGGCCAGGCAGTATTTAAATGAATACAACTTATGTGTTATCATTTCTGGGGCTAAGCTAGCCGTGCGGGAGCTGGGCAGGATGAAAAGCAGGCCTGCCCGCAACTCCTCACTACAATCACTTGCTTTCATGCAAACTCAACTAAAAAAAATATTTTTCAGTAATCTATGGTGGTGCAGGACAATTGTCTGTATTCTGTCAATTACGTTTTAAATACACGCTGATTGGCCAGTAGCCAGGCAAGAAGTATAGGGAAGACAACCAGACAGGAAATAGAGGCGGGTCAGTGAAAACAGGAGAATTCTGGCAAGGAGGAAGCCTATTCCTTCCCAGTCCTGTCTCAACCACAGAAGAAGGAAGATGTGATTCCCTGCTGAAAAGGGTACGGAGTCAGTGGCTAACATAGATAAGAATATAAATATATATATATATATATAGCATTTAAGAAAAAGCCTGAGCTAATGGACCAATCAGTTTATTATTAGTATAGACCTCTGTGTTATTTCTTTGAGGCTAAATGACTGTGGGACCTAGTGGGAGGACAGAGACCAGGCAGGACAGAAACCCAGACAACTCTATGGTATCAGTCATATGTTTTAAATTATTTGTACATTTACAACTGGGTTTGAATCTTTAATTTTTTAGCTTTTCAATAATTTTAAAGGTTTTAAACATGATTTTTCAATTTACATTATTATATTCTTTTCCTTTTTTAAGATCTGACAGTATTACTTTGAGGGCAGGTGTAACAAGTGTGATGTTTCCTGATAACATAAGAATGAAGCCAATGTCTCAAGGTTTCTCTATTGTCTGTATAAAGATATAACAAAAAGGCTACTCAGGAGTCAATAATGTCAATCACATTCTCATTCCAATTCCTCAAGTTTTCTAGTACTATTATCTTTCTATTTTTATCAGTAACATGAATTTTAAATTCTTCTCTCATACCCTGACTTGAGTTTTCACTCTCTCATCTGCTTCATGTTCTCCTGCCTCTTCCCCCAGATTTACCCTCCCTCCATCTCCCCTCAGGAAAGGGCAGGCCTCCCAGGGACATAAATAAAACAGAAATAATATGCTTTTATAAAACTGTGCACATACTATCATATCAAAGCTGAACTAAAATCCAAGAAGGAGGAAGAGGTAACCTAAATAGGTTGAAGAGTTAGCGACCACCTTTCCACTGTTAGGAATCCAAGAGTAATATCAAGGTTATGGAAAATAACATGCACACAGGATCTAGGTAAGATCCTTGTCTCACAGGATCTTGTCCTGTGAGATCCTTGTCCCTGATCTCTTTGAGCCACTCTGAGTTCCAGTCAATTGATTTTGTAGGCTGGGTATCCATGGTGTCCCTGACTATCCTGGTACTCTAATCGTTCATTTGGAAGTATTTTGAAAACCTATGTTCCCATGAATTGTGAAACTAGAGCCAATGGCAAATTTCTAAACATGTGTCGCCTCTCAGAAATCCAAAGTTAGTGTATAAAGCCTATGCAGATTAGTAATAAGTATGATAGTTCAATATTCTTTGAAAAAATCGTAAGAAAATCATTTGGGTCCATTTACATAATTGTGTCCTTTTTCATACCAGAAAATCGGTCCCGTGAAAACCACAATGCTCACCTCTACTGTCAAGACTATTGCTATGATGCAACATTATTGTCATGCACTCTTGCTAAATACAACACTCATGTATATCAGTCAACATGGAGGTGTTGACTGGTGCTTCAACTGCTAAAAGATTCACCACTGCTGACTGACACTCATGATAGAGAAATGCATTCTGCATTCTACTGAAGAAAAAGATAATCATCAACATCATCCAGCTACAAACCCTAGGACAAGAGTGACCCACAAACATAATGGACTGAAGCAATATTGGAATAAGTCCAATGGCAATTACCAGTCACTTTTTGATTGGATTTAAGGCCCCTCCAAGAAATGGACACCATTACTGACACTGCTCACATGAACAAGAAACTGAGTGGAAAGGTCAAAGCTTACAGAAAAACCTGCTACTATGATTTTGCTACAGCAACACAGTGAACAAAATAATTTTTGTTGACATACTGCTACACAAAGACATCAATGTCTCACACAGCGCACAGCAGTGAAGCCGTTTCTAGTGAGAGATGTATCTAACCCTGAGTCTTATAGCAATGTAGAGGGAGTATGAGGTTTAATAATATTCAGTCCCAATTGGAAAGCTTCATGAAAACCTTCCCTCAAATTTCAGGGAGCTAGTCAGAAGAAGAGGCAGAAAGATACTAGGGCCAGATGTAATAGTAGATTCCAATAAAACAAGGATATTGATGAGCACATGAACTGAAAGAAATTGAAGCAATACACACAAACATACAAAGGTTCTAGTTAAATCGGGGTGCTGTCTTTGAAAATGGAAAGTAGAAACAGGGTTCGATCCCCAAACAGGAAAGCATCAGTATTTGATTCCTGATGGCAAAGAAGAAATTGTTTCCTTCAATGGATTCTCACTGGGTAACTTAATCACTACTCTTCGTAGGATACATGTATTGGAATCGTTGGAAAACACAAAATCAACTCAATTGAAATGTAGTAGACTTTGGAACTCATTGTCCTTTTCTGGGGACATTTTATAGGTCTTAATTCCTTATTTAAATTTTTCTTTTCTTTTTTTATAATAGAAAGTGTGTAAGACCATAACCCTAGATGGTATAGGAATATAGGAGGGTGTTGGAGGAAATGGGGAAGGGATAAATGATCAAAGTACATTGCATGGATGACTTTTGTTGAAAAAAAAGAAGACTTTCATTGATAAAATGTCAAGAAAATAACAGACTGGTATGAATGCTCTCATGTATGGATTCTACCTGACTTTCAAAAAAAATTAACACTAATATTTCTCCAAGTATTCAATGAGAAGGAAGGAAAGAGACACTTTCCAACATGTCCTACATAGCCTACAGGAGCCTACTACAAGACCTGGTGATCTGAGCTTTCCTCCCTTGATCCCACATGTTGGAAATAAATATCCTTACTTCCATCCACAAATTTTCTTTGGACTTCCATAAGTGTGTGTTGTAATACACTTATAGATAAATAAGTAAACAAAGGAAAATAATCTAACATAAAAAAGAAATTATAAGCCAACAGTCTATGTACTTAGACATGAGAATTCTTATTAAAAGTAGTTGAAATTTTCCTGCAAGTTCAATAGCACATGAAATGGCTATGTTCACGCTCAAGCTCAGTTCATTACTGAAGAACAGAAGGACAAATGTAACATAAAAGGTGACAAATAAACATATGAACAGGATACAGATTACAATGCCCCTATCTCCAGTAATTAAATTTAATCATTTTTGAGAAAACTGCCTCAAATGCAGATGACTTTGTTATTTGTGACATGATAGTTTCAAAATGTAAATTTTGAGGGAACCTAAAACATGACACTGAGGACACAGAAGAGAACTATGGTCAACCTGGGGAAGTCCACGGTCTTGGGACCTAAGTTTCTCAGCTGGCACAGACTCTGTAGACAAAACAGTGATGAACAGAGTCCTAAGTAGCTCAGAATCCAGGCTTGGGATCCTTATTAGTCAACCAGTAAGAACAAGGGCTGGTGACCAAATCCCCACTCCAAAGTTATTTTGACAAACAAAAAGAACAGTATGGGTCTCATGAAAGCAAAAGGCTTGGAAGACAACAGTCAATCAGGCTGTACCGGGTGTTGGGGTGTTGCTTGAGTAGATCAGAAAGGCTTCCTCCAAATTCGTAGCTTCATACACTCTCTGTAGGTACTGCCTCTGCCACTGGTGAACTCAAAGTGAAAGCTCTGCCTTCAACCTTCCAGCACTAGCACCAACGGTCTGTTAGCCACGCAACTCGTGCTTTGAATCTGCATCTTGATCTGCGACCTGATTGGTCACAAGTACAGAACTGAGCCAATTAGATTGAATAGACAATTGGAACTCTCTCATTGGTCAAGTTGAAATCACGTGACTTGTGTCAGCATGCGAATGCTTGGTAACACCCTTTGACTGCACATGGGCTCCTGTGAGAACAGGATTGGAACAGAAGGCTTTGTTTCTTTGTGTCTTTTGTGTAGGGACAACCAAGCTAGTTAGGATCACCCCACACTTTTTCCTTTCCAGAATTGCCTTTCAGTTGTGAAAATGGACTTGGTTTCTGAAGGTGGGATTTGTGTTTGTTTTTTTCTTTGTCTTTTCCTAGTGAAAGTATCATCAGGCTATATTTGTGCACTGTTGTTTTGTGAACACCCATAAATCAACAGAACCCCAGGAGTTACTGACTTCAAAGACATAATAGTCTACAATGAAAAGTCAGGCTCTCTTTAAAGTCCTGCACCATGTCTTGAGTGCATGCAGATCTTTCTTTAAGAGCCCCCTCCCTTCCTTAATATCAGTGTTTTGGGTTATGTAAAAACATTTACTTTATAAACTCGAAAGTTACATCATCAACTAGTCAAGGACTATTATTCCGATACTGGTCATAAATAGCCTAAAATTAAAGTAATAATAAACACAACCATATCGAGCCACTATTTTACTCCCTGACTTTCCTTATTTCTTGCACTCATTTTGTTATGGGACATTTTAATTCAAAATTTTCTATTTCCCAGTTGTAGCAACTTCTAAAATCTATTTTACAATTTGTATGTTTTCTAGTACATGGAGGAAACACACACATTCTTTTGGTGAACTTGTCTTCAAACCTGGATGCATTTTGTACATTTTTTTCAGTATTAGTGCCCACTCTGAAACTAGTTTTTTAAGACCTGTTGATTTTCATGTGTTTTTTTAGAATGTCATTCATAAAGAATGTATGTAATTCTCTCCTTTCAACTTGCTTCGTTTTTCTGCCAAGAGATGATGCCTAGATGTGTGTATGTGTGTTTATTTGTGTGTGTTTATGTCTGTGTACCTGTGTCTATGCAATTTTGCCTGTGTGTGTGACAGAGTGGGGGAAGGAGTGAGGGAGAGAATTCATTTATGGGGGCCTTTAATGTAGGACATAAAGAAACAAAGAGACCCTGAACTTAGCCACATGTGTATTTTCAGGGCTATATACCATAGGTTTTGTTGTGTATTCAAAGCAACTTATGAGGAATAGATTTTTAGTCATAGGTGACTTTCACTGTAAAAGGGAAAATACATTGAAAGTCTTGCCACCAACCAATTTATGTTTGTGTAAGTTTGTAAGGGGATAACAGGCAGAACATGATACAAATTAGTACATTTATGTGTGTGTATGTGTGTGTGTGCATGCATGCAGGTGTGTTTGTGTATGTGTGCATGGACACAGGTGTGTGTGTATGTGTGTGTGTGTGTTTATGGGTGCTTCAGTTGTTATGGAGGAAGCCCTTCATATGACCTATCACCACACATGTATGTGTGCCAGTGGCTACACAAGAGGAGATTCTGAGCAGTACCTGGCACCAAACTATGCATGTGGTGGTTGTGGTTCTAAGGTTGTGAAGACCTTTAAGTCATGACTATTAGTCCTGCTTGTAAGGCTTTGGCAGTAAGGAATAGTAAATGTAGCAGTACATGGCCTCATGGTCTTGTGTGTGTCTAGGGGGCTTTGACTTTGAGTGAGTGGACACCTACTGGACCTGTTTTCCACTTGGGTGTGTTTTTGTGTGTTGCTAGACAGTTCAAGGTTTGGAACTCAGCAGGCCCTGACATTTATTTGTGTGTGTGTCTGTTTGAGAATTTGACTTAAGATGAGGTGATAACTGAATGTGATCCCTTTCCATGCATTTGTGTGGGCAGCTTTGCCTGTGGATGGGAAAAAGTCAGGATTTGATATTACATATACTCATGTTTGTGTATGTGTTTATTTCCATGTGGTTTTTTTTGACAGACTCTGCACACCTAAAATGATCTAACACAATCTGTGGGTGTAAGTATGGCCTTTGCTGTAGCAGAAAGTCTACCTAATATAATGTAACACCTAGTCATGCATTTGTACATGGACCTTTGCATTTGCAAACATATTCCTGAGAATGAATTGACACACAACCATGCATGGGGCCTTGGACAATAGCAGCTTATTCCTTGTGTTCCTGACAGTTGGTGGGAGTAACATGTCCTTTGGACATGTTGCCTAGTCATGTGTGTGTGTGTGTGTGTGTGTGTGTGTGTGTACCTGTTGCAAAAGAAAATTTAGTACCTTACTGGACATGATCTTAGCCATGTATGAAGAGCTTTTTATATAAAGAAAGGACTACCTAGCAATACCTGGCACATACTCTTGTATGTTCATGATTCCATGTATTTCTGACTGTGTGAGCCTGTGTAATTATCTGTGAATATGTGTGTTTGTGTGTGTATAGTATGATCTTTTACCTAGCACTGAATGTTGGGCATATGAGAGTCTTAATACATTCTATAATTAGGTGTAGCTGCAGAGATACGGGGGACAATGCTGTCAGTTCCTCACTTTTCCCCTTCATTGGAAAAACCACAAACACACATGCATGGATAAGGATTAGATTCAGCTACTTACAGACTGCCATATAAACAATTAACACACACAGAGAGGGGGGCTTTGACTGTAAAACAGGGAGAAACAAAGAGTCTGTGACACCTATCCTGTGTGTATATTCAAGGCCTTATACCATGGGTTTCATTGTACATTCAAAGATACTCATCAGGAAATGATACTTGGCTCTAAGCGACCTTCAGTGAAGGGGAGGAAATACATAGAAGAACTGGACACCTACCAATTTATGTGTGTTTAATCTTTGTCTATGAGGTGACAAATTACTGAACCTGATAAATTCTAGAGCCTTCATGTATGCATATGTCCATGCCTGTATGCATTTCAATGTGTAGGTTTGTGTTTATGGGTGCTTTAGTTGTTAGAGAAGAAATTCCTCATATGATCCATCATTGCCTATGTCTGTATTTGTGTCAGTGGCTATAGAAGAGGGGATTCTGAGCAGTACCTTAAACCAAACCATGCATTGGTGGTTGTATCTGTAAGTTTGGGTACTTTCCAAGACAAGACACCTAGTTCTGTTTGTAATGCTTTGGTTATAAGTCAATGGGAAATGAAGCAAAACCTGGCACAGGGTCCGGGATGAGCATCTGAGGAGCTATATAAGAAACAGTGCATCTGTATCGCCATCCAACGCCAGATGAAGGATCTATGGTGATAAGCAAAATATTCATCAGTATGGTCACGGGCCAAGGCCGGTTCAGGCACCCCCTCCTCTGTCCAGAGAACAATCTGGGGATCTCTCCTTGGACCTGGGATCCCATATATAATCAAGTTTCCTGTAAACTCTAAAATGACTCCCTTAGTTGAAATATATTCTTCCCTGATCCCACATTCATCCTTCCTCCCTTCCCCCCATCTCGGTCAACCGAGCTTTCTCCATTCCTCCCCTACTCCCTTCTCTCTAACCCTCTCCCCTTCCAACAACCCTCCCACCCCCCCACCCCCCATGCACCCAAGGTTACCTGGGACTCTTGACTATTTCCTACCTCCTGGCGGATAGCTAAATAATCTTCATCAGGTTCGTCTTCTTATTTAGCTTCTCTAGGATCACGAATAATAGGCTCAAAGACCTTAAATTATGGTTAGAATCCACTTATGAGTGAATACATACCGTGTTCCTCTTTTTGGGTCTGGCTTACCTCACTCAGTAAAGCGTTTTCTATGTCCATCCATTTGCATGCAAAATTCAAGATGTCATTATTTTTTACCGCTGAGTAAAACTCTAATGTGTATATGTTCCACCGAACTGAGCCCCCCAAGATCCAAATGAGGAGCAGAAGGAGGAAGAAAATGACGAAGGACTGCAAGGGATACTATCACCCACTGATACAAGGGGTCGGCTCTAATGAGAGTTTACCAAGGCCAGATGGACCGTGACTGAACGAGCATGTGATCCAACCAGATTCTCTGAATGTGGCCGGATTTTCTGAATGTGGCTGGCCTGCAGTCTTTCTGAGAAGCCATTGACAATGACACTGGGACTGGTTTCTTCTGCATATACTGGATTTTTGGGATCCAGTCTGTTTGGATGCTCACCTTCCTGGACCTGGAGGGAGGGGGGAGGAACTTGGACTTCCCACAGGGCAGGAGACCCTGACTGCCCTTGGGGACAAAGAGGGAGGAGGAGAGGGAGGGGGGGAGTGGGAGGGCGTTGGGAGGAGGGGCATAAATGGAAACTTTTTATAATTTAATAAAATTACTTAAAAAAAAAAGAAACAGTGCATTCCAGACACAGCAGGACTGATGAGCATGAGAGCTCACAGAGGCTGTAGCTGTACAGAGGAGCACACAAGAGGTCAGTTCACGTGGTGGTTCTGTCACTGAAAAGAAGAAGTGGAAATGGAGTTCCATTCCTAACCAAGGACACATCTACAACTTTCCTGGGGTAAAGGAACAATCAGTTTCCTCTAATGGTTACACACGGGGATCTTAGTGACTCCTTTTGACCATGACCTGGAATTATTGGCACTCAGAAAATTAATCCATTAGGACATGGGGTAGACTTTTGGGTTTGTTTTCATTTCTCTTGGGGCATCATATATGTAAGTATTGCAAATTATGATGTTTTTTACTTTTTTTCTTGCAGAAAGAAAAGCAGAATGCTGTAAGGGAAGGCAGGTTAGGAGGCTCTGTGATGAGTTGGGTAAGGGTGAAACTTATCAAAAATATATTGTATAAAAGACTTTCAATGATGAAATGTCAAGAAAATAAAAGCGTGGTATGAATGCATTCATGGATGGATTCTACCTGATTTTAAAGAGAGGCAGCACTAATATTCGTCCAGCTACTCAATTATGGAAAGGGGAAGACACAGTTTCCAACATGTT